CATTTACATTTTAAAGTCACATATAACATTATTTTCCCACTATTAACCAAATGGGGATTAAAAGTTGGTCTTTGGTCTTCTTTTAGGAATCAGATGGTGGAACTGAGACCTCGGACACAATTGCCTTGGGTAAAACATCCCTAGCACATAATGGTGAGCCTAACAATGATATATCAGAATCATCACCAACATTAGGTTTTCCTAACATCCACTCATCTTCCAGAGGTTCTGCTTCTACTTCTGATACTGGCAGTGTGAATGCTATCTTTGAGTATTTCTGGTGTGATTTTCCATGCTGAATGCTTCTACTTGCTCAGCCAGTAATTCATTTGAATATTTGTTTGGTATAAATTGAGATTGATGCATGCTTTTAAAAATTTATCCCTCAGACTGGCAAGAAGACTCAGAAGGTAAAGGTATTTGCCACCAAGCCTAACAAGTCTAATCCCCTAGACCCACATGGTGGAAGGAAAGAACGAAGCCCCAATATATGTGCCCAAATAAATAAATAATATATATTTATATATTTCTAATTACTCCTCAGTAAAATCTTTTCTGTTCTCTTAGATTGTTGGGAGTCTCGTGTAACCAGGATGGCACTGACCTCATTCTATAGCTGTTACTGGCACTGACTTCCTCATCTTCCTGGGATCACAAGCCCTTGCTATCACACCCAGCTGTCACTGAATCTTTATGATGACTAGATTTGAACTGCAATTGAGATATTGAGTCCTTCATTCAGTTCTTGGTTTTGCACTTTAATCAAAGCCACAAATCAAATTCATACTCAGCAATTTATTTTAACCACTATGATTCTTATTTTCCATTGAGCTAAGAACAGGTATATAATGAATAAATTGTCAAAAAATTAAATTTAAATTTAAAAAATTAATTTACAAAAACACTTGCATAAAAGATGAAATGCAATAAGGAAATCAAATTTGAGGGATATCTCCATTATGGAAATACTTGGCACATTAGTGTATAGACCAGTGATTTGTCTCAATACCTTTCCCTTTACAATATATGCTAGATTTGTTGAGGTGCATGAAAACCCACCTCAGCTAGCATCTGAAGTCAATGTTAACCCACTCTATGTCTCTCCAGCATATAACAAACCACTAATCCACGTGTATGAAAAGGGTTCACTTCTGAGATCTGCTGTGGTTCTTTATGGGGTAAGTTTGATTTTTTTGAAACTTTGCAAGTAGAAAACTTGCAAAGCTTATAGAAGTAAAACATTTTTACCATTGCCAGTATAATTAAAATGAACTTATTGTAATTGGCTGACAGTTGAATTGGCTTGTTGAATTAATGTCTTCTATTTTTTTATGTTTTTTAACTTAACTGGAGGGAAATACAAAATTAGACTTTATCCTATTTGAAAAATTGAGTTTAATGTTTTATAAATTGGCATATGGTTATTACAAGAAAGATTTCTGCAGGATCTTCCGATTTTTAATTCTAGAGTCTAATTTCTCTCTGTAAAGTCTTAAATTTAACAAACTTTTTCTACTCTTTGTTTTAGAAAATTTATGACCATATCAGCAGGGCTGAGATTATAGGTAGTCCCAAGCTAGTCTGTATAAAACATTACTATAAAATAACTTAATCACAACCAGGGGAGAGATCCAAAGTAAACTTCACATTTTATAGATTTTCACCTAATGCATGATTGAACAGAAGTTTCTTAAATAAAAAAATAGAAGCAAGTAACAAATTTAACTATATTTACTGAGCCATTTGAAGAAAATGGTCATCCTCAATGATTTTCCAATTTAGTGGCATAAGCACTTCAGTCTGGCAACTACCCAGAAATGTAGTTTCATATCTAGAAAATTAACCAAAATAAACTGTGCTTGTACAGAATAAGTTTGCTTAAAGGTAATTTTCAGAAGGACCGATTGGTTCTGCAAATGTTTGTGACACAGTATACACAATATTCTGTATGTCAGGTGGCACACAAGACAGCAGGCAATAAAATATTGCTACAGTGTAAGGATGTCTACTTACACATTTTTAGGAGACATAAGCTGATAGGAGTGTACATAGTTGAATAGTATGAGGTAAACAAGGCTAACAGTAGACTGAAATGCTGAAAATCATCTTTACATAGATTAGTAAACTCAAATTACAAAAGTAATTATACATATATACTTAGTAAATCAGTATTTATAATATATATTTAGTAAACCTAAATATATATTTAGAAAATCAATAAAGGGCAAAAATATGGAATACACATATACATGGTAATGTTATTCAGCTGTGAAAAGAGTAGAATCATGTTTGTAGGAAAATAAGTTATAATTGACTGTTGATATAAGCCAAATGAATAAAGACAAATACACATTTGGCCTCATATGCAAAATGTAGGTTTTTTTTTTTTAATTTAAGGTCCTAAAAGTATAATGGGGACTATTAGTGAAATGGAAAAGGACTAGAGGGAGTGAAAAAGAAAATGATAAGGAGGTAAATGAGAGTGATTTTGCTTAAATTATGTGACAGATAAGTTAAAAAAAACACACTGAAACCACTTTCTATAGAATTAATACATGCTAATAACTATAATCAGTTAATACAACACTTTTCTTTGTCTGTGTCTGAACAGGAGTCAATTTATTGCTGGGCACTCGAACTAGTTTGTATCTGATGGACAGAAGTGGAAAGGCAGACATCATTAAACTTATAAAGCGAAGACCATTCTGCCAGATTCAAGTCGTGGAGGCACTCAATTTGCTGATGACCATCTCTGGTTTGTTTAAGACCTAAAATTAGCTAAGTAATTATGTGGAGTAATTGAAGTGCAAACTAGGTTAAAGGCTTTCTTAGGTAAAACTGTTCATAAGAAAACACTTTAAATATACCCTTTAACTGGGACAGCAGAATCTCCTACTTGTGTTTTTATATCCTTTTACACTTTAAATAAAATCCCTTGATCTTGATGCACCTAACCTAGGTTGGAGATCAGAAAAACTGCATTTACTTCCTTGAAAGTTCTTTTCAGAGTTATCTCTAAAATTGCATAGCTGAAATCAACATCCACAAGGGCCAACACCAATATCCACCATCTAGCTTATGATATATCAGAAACAACAAAGAACCAAATGGATGAATATTTGGGCAAAAGAGAGAATTTTACCTGTCTCTGCCTTATTACAAGGGCAGATAGACAAGATTAGGTACAAGAATGGATGCCCTAAAGACATCTGCACCTTTCCCAAACAGTGGTTGGTTTTCATAATCTTGATCTGTCAGAGCCTGAAACTTTGACTTTAAAAAAAACAAGTAAGTTGGTGTTAAACTGTGACTACTAAATGAATGAAAAATAAATAATTAAAACAATGACATGACTTTCCTAGGTATGGCTGAGTGGCAGTTTTTTTGTAGACATGAGAGAGAGCATACCCAGAGGCATGAACAGAGGCATCTGGAAGAGTCTAAAGTGAACATGACCAGCAGACTGAATGAGGCCATATGAAAAGAGAGAGGAGATAGACAAAGGGGAACCTGGAGTAGCAGCCAAGAGGTCAAGAGGCCATTAGAAAAAAAGGGTAAAAGGATCAGTGTAACCAAAATGGAAATGCAGCTGGTAGAAGGCCAGCCCAGCAGCTGAGCTGGAGGTTTCAGCAAAAAGGGAAGGACATGCCTCCCAGGAGGACCCTGTAACATGTAAGGGCTGAGGAATGCTGGGACAACCTGGCAGCCAATATCTGCTTTGATATGTTTATAAGCACCTTAGTTAGCCCTAATACTAGAGACCTAATACTAATCATAACTGAGTAAATAAAAAAAAATCAAAAGACAGTTCACAAATTAGTAGGAATGTTTAACTTAATATTTGGCCATCAAATAAAACCATACCAACCACTGATATTTATGTCTTTGTACTTCATAACATATAAGGTATATGTGAAATATATATGTGTGTGTGTGTAAATTGCCACATCATATACTGATTGCATGAGATTAATTCTGCTTCAAGGTTTGATTAGAGGTAATATCATTTTAGAGGTAAACTCAGACTTCATAATATTTTAATCATACTTTATGACCAATCATTCAGGTACACAGAAACAGTACTTAGTTTTGAAAACATCTGGATATCTGAGAGAACATCTGGATAAGAGATTTATTTTCATCTGATTTTTGAAAACCCAGTTATACATTTTTTACAATACCTAAACTTAATCCAAATTTTATTTGTTTTTTTTTTTTTTAACTGGGGTTTAAAACTAAGGTCTGTACATGGTAAGCAAGCATACCTCAACCAAAAAAAAAAAAAATGGTGTGTCAAATACTATAAAAACATCGTCATCAGATAAGAATCTTCTAAGGTTACTCTGAAAGGAACTTTCAAGAATGCAATGTGAAGAGTAGTTTATTTTACTAGTTTAGTATAAAATAACCATGATAATAATTTTGGAACCCTAATACTTCTTTAAAATTTCCTACAAAAACACAGTAAAATTAATCACATTAAGATTATTATTACCCCAATTGGTTTCCCACAGTGAGGGGAACAAGGACTATTTCTAACAGGAACTCAATGACTGGCTCTTTGGCCTCCCCACCCCCCAAGGGAGGAGCAGTCCTGTTAGGCCACAGAGGAGAGCTTTGCAGCCAGTCCTGAAGATACCTGATAAAACAGGATCAGATGAATGGGGAGGAGGTCCCCCCTATCAGTGGACTTGGCAAGGGGCACAGTGGAGAGGAGGGAGGGAGGGAGGGACTGGGAGGGAATGAGGGATCGGGACAAGGCTGGGATACAGAGTTAATAAAATGTAACTGATAAGAAAAAAATAAAATTCAAAAAAAAAAAAAAAAGAAGCCTAATATCAACCTAGAGGGAGAGAAATCCAAAATGTTTCAACTAAAATCTGGAATAAAACATGGTTGTCCACTCAAAAAAAATAATGTATTATTACTTAATTTATTATTTACTTTGGAAGGAAACACAAAGGAGGCCATATGACCGTCAAAGCTCATGGGTAATGACAAAGGTTTCTCATCAAACATCATAAAAACAAGACATTTACTTGCTGGTTTTACACAAATATTTGTTTTGAATGTGCTTCTTTTGCACAAATTATATTGTAGCATCCTGAGGCATGTTTAAGTGTCTTCAGTGGTTTTAAATATATTTTATATTAATTAATTTATTTACTTTATCTCCCAGTAGGAAGTCCCCCTCCCTCCTCTCCTTCTAGTCCTTCCCACTCACATCCCCTCCTCTCCTATCAGTCCTTCCCTCTCACCTCACCTCCTTACCCCCTGTACCCACTCCCTTTCTACTAAGAGAGAGACTTTCCATGAGTATCAACCCACCTTGGTAGATCAATTAGGACTAAGCACATCTCCTATTGAGGCTAGACAAGACAGTCCAGTTAAGGGAAAGGAATCAAAGGCAAGCAGCAAAGTCAGAGACAGCCCCTGCTCCTGCTGTGAGAGGTCCCAAATGAGGACCAAGCTGTACATCGGTGATATTTGTGGGTGTGCCTTGGGGTACCTAAAAGCATCCCATGGATGCTCGCTGGTTGGTGGTTCAGTCTCTATGGGCTCTGTGAATCTAGGTTAGTTGATTCTATAGGTTTTCTTGTGCTGTCCTTGACCTCTCTTGCTATTTCAATCCTTCCTCCTCCTCTTTCATAAGATTTCCTGAGCTCTGCCTAATGTTTGGCTGTGGGTCTCTGCATCTGTTTCTATCAGCTGCTCTGTGGAGCCACTCAGATGGCTGTTATTCCAACCTTCTGTCTGCAGGGAATAGTAAAATATTATTAATAATGTCAGTTGTGGGCTTTTTCATAGTATGCAGTTCAAGTTGGGCCAGTCATTGACTGGCTGGATTAAAGGTTTTGTGTGAGGATTGGTGTGCCCTACCCTCCTCTAGAGTCTCCCTGAGTACAGGAGGTGGCCATTTCAGGCTCCATTTCCCCTACTGCTGGGAGTATTAGCTAGGGTCACCACCATACAGTGCCTGGAGACACCTCTGTCCCACAGAAGCCCCCTCATGGATTTTAGTTCTCTCTCCCAGCTCTCCCCCTTTCCCCACACCTGATCCCCATCTGAGTTCCCCTTTCCATCTCCCTCTCCCACACAGTTGCCTCTTTCTGTCTACTTCACATGCTAGTTTACTTCCCTTTCTGATTGAAATTCAAGCATCCTCCTTTGGGCCCTACTTGATACTTAGCTTTTTGGGTGGATTGTGGGGTGGCTATCCTGTATTTTAGGGCCAATATCCACTTATAAGTGAGTACATAACATGCATGTCTTTTGAGGTTTGTGTTACCTCACTCAGGATGATCTTTTCTTTTTTAATAGTTTTTTTTTAATTTATTACAATACATTCACTTTGTATCCTAGCTGTAACCCCACCCTTATCCCATTCCAATCCTGCTCTCCTCTCCTCCCATGCCCCTCCCCCAGTCCAATGATAAGGGGGGTCCTCCTCCACTCCCTCTGACCCTAGCCTATCAGGTCTCATCAGGACTGTCTCTCATAGTCTTCCTTTGTGGCCTGGTAAAGCTGGTCCCCCCTCAGGGGGAGGCAATCAAAGAGCCAGCCACTGAGTTCATGTCAGAGAAGGATGATCTTTTCTAATTCCATCCATTTGCCTGCAAATTTCATGATGTCTCTGTTTTTTGATAGCTGAGTAGTGTTCCACAATTATGGTAAATGTACCACAATTTCTTTATCAATTTTTTGGCTGAGGGTCATCTAGGTTGTTTCCAGTTTCTTAATGTTACCAAAAAAGCTACTATGAACATTGTTGAGCAAGTATCCTTGTGGTATGGTGGAACATCTTTTGAGTATATTCCTAGGACAGCTATAACTGGGTATTGAGGTAGAACTATTCCCAGTTTTCTGAGAAACTAACAGATTGATTTCTAAATTGGTTCTCAAAATTTGCATTCCCACCAGCAATGGAGGAGTATTCCCCTTTCTCCGCATCCTCACCTGCATGTGCTGTTGCTTGAGTTTTTGATCATAGCCATCATAATGGGCATAAGATGGAATCTCAGAGTCCTCGTGATTTGCATTTCCCAGATGACTAATGACATTAAGTGATTCTTTAAGTGCTTCTCTGCCATTCAATATTCCTCTGTTGAGAGCTCTCCGTTTAGCTCTATACCCGGTTTTTAAATTAGGTTATTTGGTTTGTTATTATAAATGTCTTAAGTTCTCTATATATTTTGGACATTAACCCTTTGTTGTAGGGTTCATGAAGATCTTTTCCCAATCGCTAGACTGTTGTTTTGTTCTATTGACAGTGTCCTTTGCCTTATAGAAGCTTTTGTGTTTCAAGAGGTCCTGAACTATTGGTGTTCTATTCAGAAAGTTGTCTCCTGTGACAATGAGTTCGAGGCACTTCGCCACTACTCTTCCAAGAGATTTAGTGTATCGTGTTACATTGAGGTCGCTGATCCACTTGGATTTGAGTTTCGTGCACAGAGATAAACATGGATCTATTTGCATTTTCTTCATGTAGACATCCACTTAGACCAGCACCATTTGTTGAAGATGCTGTCTTTTTCTCCATTGTATGGGTTTTGCTCTTTTTTCAAAAATCAAATGTCCATAGGTGTCTGGGTTTATTTTTGGGTCTTCTATTTAATTTCATTGATCAACCAGTCTATTTCTATGCCAAACATGCAGTTATTATTACTATAGCTCTGTAGTATAGCTTGAAGTTAGGGATGGAGATTCCTCCAGAAGATCTTTTATTGTACATTACTGTTTTAGCTACCCTGGGCCATTATTATCATTATTATTATCATCATTATTATTATTATTTAAAAGTTGTTTGTATCCTGGCTGTGACCCCCTCCCTCATCTTCTCCCAATCTCCCCCTCCCTCTTCTCCTCCCATCCTCCCCCACAGTCCACTGATAGGGGAAGTACTCCTTGCCTTCTATCTGACCCTAGCCTATCAGGTATCATCAGAAGTGGCTGCATTGTCTTCCTCTGTGGCCTGGCAAGGCTGCACTCCACAGGTGGAGATGATCAGAGAACCTGCCACTGAGTTCATGCCAGAGACAGCCCCTTAACCCCTTACTAAGGAACCCACTTGGAGACTGAGTTTATGGTTTATATCTGAGCAGGGGTTTTAGATCCTCTCCACACATGGTCCTTGTTTGGGGTATCAGTCTCTGCAAGCCCCCCTGGACCCAGTTATTTTTGGCTCTGTTGGTCTCCTTTTAGAGCTCTTGTCTCCTCCAGCTCTTTCTATCTCCCCCTTCTTTCATAAAATTCCATGCACTCTGCCCAAAGAATCTTGGCCTCTGCTTCCATATCTCCATCAGTAGAGTCTTTCAGAAGCCATCTGTGGTAGGCTTCTGTCCTGTTTCCTGTCTTCTCCTG